GTGCAGGCCAATGGGCGCTGCAAGAGCAGTGCTTGTGGGTGTGTGCAGCATGCAGAGACCTGCTGCCCCCCTCCTCTATTGGGTGCGCAGTGCAAAGATGCCCATGCTGACCCCAATAGTCAGCCACTTTGAGTTGCATGTAGGATGCCACAGCAAGGGAGCCTGTCTGAAGATCCTGCTGAGAGCCACCTACAATAAGCGCTTCCCAGCCAGAGCCTGCACCTGGCACCCCCTCCTACAGCTCAATCCCCTGTCCCAGGTCACATCCTCCTCTGGCACCCCCTCCTATACTCTTGTCACAGGTCACAATCCCCTCCTGCACCGGACCCCCCCCGCCAAACCCCTGCCCCAGGTCACAACCCCCTCCTTCACTCAGACCCCACACCCTACCCTGCACCCCAGTCCCCTCCCCTGAGCTCCATCCCGACCCCCACGGCCCCTCCATAGAAAAGTGCAGTCCTCCACCACGTCCCAAAATCTTGGAGTCAAAAGCTATTGCTCCCTCTGGCCTAGATCCCCATGGATACGGAGCTGCCAGTACCCGAAGTGATGTCCCCTCACTTGGGGGGTCTTGTCGCTCCTTGAAACCCTCCCGGGAACTGCTCCTGACCCGCTGCGGAGTGCCACCATCTCAGCTGGCTGAGCAGCCTCCTGCCATGCACCCGGGATGCTCCCTGCCCCGTGGATGACAGAGCCCCTCTCTGCCCCCACTGGTTATGCCATATCTGCCCCAGATTGGGCAGCTGTGGGGGGAAGGGAGGGGAGGGGAGCAGTTCGGCCAGCGAGGAACCTCGGCTCGGACACCCTGCGGCTTCCCTTGCGGCGGCGTTCAGACCTGCACGGTGCGCGCCTGGCCTGAGAGCAGGCAGGGAGGGGCCAGGTCTCCCGTCGGAGCCCGGCGGGAAGCCAGCTCCGTGGCTGGGGCAGTGGCAGGACATGGGAGGCGAGCAGCAAGCACGCCACCTTACCTGTATTCTCGTCCCACGACGCAGGCGGCTCCTGGCCCTTCCGGGCCCGCTCTCCGGGGCTCGGAGCGGCCTGGCCACCGTGCTGAGGCGTGGCCCGGGTGTTGTTGCAGTTGTTGGTGGACAAGGCCCGGAGTCCCGCCTTGGCAAGTGCTCTGGGGCTACGCTGGCTCCTCGGCTCCTCCGGCACAGACCCGGGCTTGCTGGGAGGAGGCGCTGGCTGAGCCACCTGGTCACGGGGCTGCTCCGGGCTCCCAGGTCCGTGGCCTGGGAGCGGGCAGCTGCCGGTCAGGACAGCTCTCCGGGAAGGCACAGGGGAGGCAGCCCCCCCACCGGGCGGTGCCCCTGGCGTTGCGTGGTGGCGGGAGATGCCCGTGGCTGGGCGGGGTTGGCTCACGTTGGGGGCTGGCGGAGGGGCGGGGGCAGAGCTTTCCAATGCGCCTCTGTGGCTCGGGACGGTGGCCTCAGGCGGTGCTGACAGGTGACCCTGGGCAGGGGGCGGAGGGTGGGCGTACCTCCCCTGCATGGGGGCGAGCGCTGCCTCACCCTGGTCCTTCGTCCCAGCCAGCCCAGCTGCAGCTGGGAGTCGGTGGCCTTCGGAAAGTGCTTCCGCCCCATTGGCTGACGCCCTGCTCACCTGGCCCTCTTGGGGCACCAGGGTCTCCTTCAAGCTGGAGTTTCGTGACCCTGGGCAGGGGGCGGAGGGTGGGCGTACCTCCCCTGCATGGGGGCGAGCGCTGCCTCACCCTGGTCCTTCGTCCCAGCCAGCCCAGCTGCAGCTGGGAGTCGGTGGCCTTCGGAAAGTGCTTCCGCCCCATTGGCTGACGCCCTGCTCACCTGGCCCTCTTGGGGCACCAGGGTCTCCTTCAAGCTGGAGTTTCTTTCGTTGTCGGTGCTGTCCAGAGTGGAGTCCACCTCGTCGATGTACGTGACGGCCCCGATGTACGTCTCCCTGATCCGCTCGGTGTGAACGCGCTGCCGGGAGGGGAGAATCCAGAGGGGAGACCCCCTGGGGCCCAACGTCCTGCCTCTGGCCTCCTGCTGGGGAGCGCTGGGCTCCCCGGGGCTGGGGTTTTCCTGAGTTGCGCCGTGGCTCTCTGGTAGATGCTTGAGAGCCCGATCAGGCCTGGCGTCCGCCCTCGGATTAGCGGCTGAGCCACCGAGGTAGGAGCCGCATGCTCTGCACTTCCCCTCTGCACTCAGCGCGGCCGTCTCACAGCGCCCCCTTCTGGCCAGCCCGAGGGCCTGCTGCTCCCTGCAGGCTCGGCTGCCCCCGTGCTCCTCGCGGGGGAAGTCCCCGTTGACGTAATCCGCCAGGTCCGGCTTGGAGAGCAGTGGGCTCTGGCCCAGAGTCTGGAGCACCGAGTCCAAGACCCGCTTCTGGCGCACGTGCAGCCTCTCCAAATAGCGAACTTCAGCATCCCGGAGAGACTCGTCCTCAAAGCGCACGCGGGAGGGGGAGGGGCCGCGCTTCCTGGGCTGCCCGCAGCTGGATTCCCCGCTGGAGGAGTCACTCAGGTTCCCGCCAGCCTGGGCCTCTCCGTCCTTCAGGGCACAGCCCTTCAGATCTGGGGCGGCGCGCCCGCCGGCCTCCCC